GCATGCTTTTGTACATTTTTAAAAAAAATGTATTAAGGTAATTATAATATGGTAAAATTAAAAAGGTAAGTTGCATAAAATGGACTTTTAAAAACTGTATGAATCAGTTTACAAACACAAATAGGTTATGGGTTTTGAAAGCACTTTTATAGTCAGACACATATGGTGATTATATTTGTAATATAAATAATTTTTGCAACAAGAAATGCAGTATTGGTAAACAATTTCTTTCAAAAAATATTTTAAACACTTTTTTGAGTATATATTGTCTATATACTATATAGTATATGTGTGTGTCTATAAAACAGTAATAATGTGAAATAATTGCATTTTTTAATATGTTTTCTGTTTGCATTCATTTTTAAAATGCTATTTATTCTTGTGGGGAAAAAGATAAATTTTGAGCATAATTATTCAAGTCAATGGTTTTTACTTCTTTTCAAACTTTACTTCTGATTCAATCAGGCAAAAGAGTTGGTAAATACATTTAAATTAAATCACAGAAAGATCTGTATTAAATAAATGTTCTTTTTTTAAGCATTGCATTAATAAAAACATCCTATTATTTCACAATATTACTGTATTACAAAGTTGATGAGAAAAGTGACTTCTTTAAAATTGAAAACAATAATAATGTTTATCGCAAACCTGTGACTTCCACTATTGAAAATCTTGTCATTTTGTTCAAATGTGAAAATTCCAATGTTTTTCTGAAACAATCAGCACTCTTTGAACTCCTTAAATTCATCCTTACCTCCGGTCCCTTCTAGAATGGCCCTCACCACAGCCTGAACGCCCTGTGGTTGCATTAACCTGTCAGACAGCAATTGTCCACTCAGTCTTCTCAGCCATGGAGGAGCCTGAGCAAGAGCTTTCCCTCCTGCTCTGGATCCTGAAGATCCCTACAGCAGAATGAAGGTAGAAACCATGGTTCACAAAGAACATTATATTATGTGGTCACACACATACAAACCAAAAATAATTTAGAATAAAGCAAAACAGCCACCTGTTTAGGACCCCCTTGGAGAACAAGCAGTTCTTTAATGACGATTGGCTGATACACTTTTCCCAAAAGATTATGGAGTGATTCTCTGCAGGACTTGCGCTCCTCTACTGTCAGACACTGTGAAACATTTGCAATAACCAAATAATCTAGCATTAGACAGAATGAAGCTATATTATATAATATTGTATTATATTATATTATATTGACTCTGGAGGTCAAATCTGCTGTGGCGACCTCTGATAATCCTGGACTAAGCTTAAGGAAAACAAATGAATGAATAAATGAATGTATGAATGAATGACTGAACATTAACATGAATGAATGAAACTGGTAATATTTACTGCTATTATAGCAATTAGGAATTACAAATAGGAATTACTTATATTTTAAGTTTTGATAATTAGCTTTGATTTAGTTTTTTGTTTGTTTAGTTTTTTTTTTTTTCAGTTTAATTACCAACACATTTGGTAATACTTTAATAATATCATTACGAGCATTAATAATACGCAATACATTAGTAAAAGAATGTTTCTTTTAAAAAATGTAAAAAATGCTCTGTATAATTGTATTTATAAGTATATTTACTTATTTATGAAACTGTAAAGTAAACATTTGTTCGTTTTCCATTATTATTCTTACTCCTATTATTTAAAATTATTAATTGTTTTATTTAAAATTATTGTTTAATTAATTAAAAAAAATGTAATTTAGTTTTTATTTTCAGTCAGAAAAATGCTTTTTTTCAATTACTTCACTACATATATCTCCTCCTCTGTGCACGTCAGGAATCACACATAGTTTAGGCCAAGCAATTAAATAGAATAGATTATTTTAACTTTATTTTTAATATAATGCTATTTTAATAAGTTTTGTAAGTTTTAGTACTTAAACTTAATTTAGCCTAAATTTCATGTAATTGTCTTTATATTTTTATTTAGCTATAATGAGTATTTTTTTTAAGTGTAGGCTTTTGTACTTCAACATAAAAAAGTTTAGTTAGCTACAAAGGTAAAAAATCTAATTTGTTTATAAATAATAATATTTTCTTTAACCTTTGTGTTTTCATTTATTGCTTAATATCCAATGTTTTACTTTAATAACATTTAGGTTTAATATTCAGCTCTATTTCAGTATAGCATTACAAACATTTACATTTTAATATAAAAACATTTCCAGGATGTTTAAATTGAGTTCCAGAATATTTCAGGTTTCCTTTCTGATTCTGCAAAAATAAGAAAAGTCCCTAAAAAGTTCAGGTTGTCCATTGCTTTGGAAACCCCCTTTTAAATATATGTACAATTTCACCTTATGGCTCTTTGCACCATCTCCATCAGGCCGCTGGGGTCGATAAGCCAACTGACATAGTGCCGCCATAATATCACCCAGATGGCGTGTAAAAACAGGAGTTGCCAGAGACGAAAGTGCAGACACCTCCAGCAGCACATTAGTCGTGACAAGAAGTCGCCTTTCACCCGCAGGGGCCACATCAAGTCGGACTGCCCCTTCTACAGCTGCCCCAAAAGCCGACCTCAGTCCCAATGCTACCCCGACACCGGGAGCCAAATATGGGCAGAGACCCAGAGTGACCACAAACTGCAGCACAGCACCCAGTGTCTTCTGCTGGGCCACACTGAGAACATCTGGGGGGAGTGGAGGAGCTGCTTCAGGGGTTGCCAGATTTGGTGCCGCAGGATGTTTGTGAAAGGCATCCAGGAGGCGCTTCAGGTGTCGAGCCAGGCAAAGCAGCAAGAGAAGACATTCCTGGACAAAGCTCCATGTTATGTCCTCAGTGTCCCTGCAGAACCATGTGACGACTCTTCTGACCTCTTCCAGAAGAGGACGGACTTCTGTCAGATCTTTCGCCTCTGAAATTTGCTCCTGAAGCTCAGACAGGTTCCTCTGGAGGGCTGAAAGCAGCGCTGCTTCTGTGGTTTGACCATCGCTCAACTGCCCATCTAGAATGTGTGCCAGAACATTTTAAATGTATATTGGATTTCAAAATTTGTCATTAGTAGGTACTTGTTTTAAATAAAATGTTCATTTGAGTTTCGTAACGTGTCTTCTAAATTTCAATAACATTATTATCATTTAGAGCAATTACTTAAAAAAACAGTAATAGATCAATATAATATATTTCATGTTTATACACACACACACACACACACACACACACACACACACACACATACATACATATATATATATATATATATATATATATATATATATATATATATATATATATATAGTATAAATAATAACATTCATATTGGTGCTCTTCAAGACACGTAATCAGTAGTCTAAATAATGAACACAGCTTAAAGTTTTACTCAGAACAGGATCTTTTTTCCCGACATGTATGTAAGAAATTTATAAAACCTAAATTTTACACAAACCTCCACAAATAATATATTTAGCTAACGTTAAATGGCTGTCGCTATTTATTATTGAATGTGTGGGAAAACAAACACTGAAAGTGATTAGCTAGTCTTGTTAATATGTCAGTAACTTTACATGACAAAGGGTTAAAAATGTTATTTATACTATTATTCTTTTCGCTTTACGAAAAGAATAATAGAATAATAGTATAAAAATTGTTCAAACAATATAAGGGCGAGTTAATAATGACAGTTTGGAACTGTTATCTGATAGATTCTTTAAGACTGTAACGTTAAAGTACTGGTTGAAATTAACGTTAGCCAACGAATAATGAAAACAGAGAACGTGTTCTGAACAGGATTTGTCCGCTGTTGTAATGTTTTTCTTACCTCGAATAGGTTTCGTTAATATACTGAGAGACTTTATTAATGCTGTGGTCATCTTGCTCCTCACCGCAATGTGTTGCTTGTAAGACTGTCGCAAAGCTTCAACGTAACTACGGTTGAAATTAAATATTTTCATAATAAAAGTCCTACAATCTCAAACGCAGCAGGTTTATGTAAAAAAGAAAACAAATACTTTAAAATATAACTGTAGGCCTACTCTAAAAATATAAGTGATCACAGTTAAGTGTAGTTGTGTGAAGGATAGTGTAATGTGGTGTGAATAATACAAACTGTTTAAACAATGTATAACAACTAATAAGTATTTTGAGGATGAGTGACAAGGGTTTTTGGTAAAATTGTCTTTTTATTGTCAGTTTATAGTGACTTTTTTATTTTAAAAAATCAATAAACAAGCCATAAAATCAGAAAAATCTTAAAAAAACAAAACAAAAACAAAGCTGCTTTCCTCTCTAATTGCTTGTATTTGACTTATTAATAAATTTGTGAACCCACAAAAAGCAGAATAAATACTGCAATTTTTAAAAATAATCATTCTCATTTTATGGTAATTATGATAATACAGAATTGTTATACTTTTCACATGCATGTCAACAACAAACTTTAAATGATAATTTATGAATGAATAGTATTAATTATTAATCCTCCTGAGTGAAATATGATCCAGAAACCTTGACAGTTTACCCATTTATAAATCTAGATAAAGATGAATGAACCCATCACTGATATACAAGCATAGACTTTATTCAGTTTGTTTTACAACATAATACCATTTGGACAAACTACAAAAACAAAGCATTCTGAATCTAATACATTCGATTGTTATCATTGAAACATGAACTTAATATAACTATTCTTGTCATTGACAAGATTAATATTTCACGCCCAATAAGAAAGAAAGTTGAGCGCAGATCAAAAGTTCACATATTTGCAAACCTTACATAAAAGTTCAATAAATAGTAAATAAGTTATTAATATATAAATAAATAAAGCCTAAATAAAGTAGTGTTTTACTATATTACAAGCAAATCTTTCTTGAAAGAGTGTTGGTTTATAAACTTTGAAATAAATCATGTGACACATGCAACCTTTAAGCTTACGAATGTAAGCATATCAAATAATGTAAGTACCTTATAAAATTGTATTTTAAAACAAACACTACTCGGTACATGAGACACGTCTCTACAGATTGGGTCTTAATTTGTCCTCGGTTATTGTTTAGGCACTGCACAGGTACAGGCCACAGGCACTTGCACATGTTCAAATGTGAAGGAGTATTTATCCGGGTCAGACGGGCATGGGTGCTTCTTCAGGAATACATGAGTTTTGAACACAGGCACAGAGTTGTAGGATCTGTTTAACTCCCCGTTAATGATGCAGCCATCACACAAACACTGCGCTTCCTCATATTTTGAGGGGTACATGTCTGGGTTTTCCACAGTTCTGAAGAATACAAGAGATATACAAATTAGCCATGATGCAGGACAACACTTAATAAAAGTATAAATGACCTAACAAAGTTCTTGATTCAAGTAGTTCTCAACTTTGAGATATTTGCTTTTTCTTTTTGAACTCAAAATAAGATGTTTTGAAGAATGTTGGAAATTAGTAGCCATTGACCACATCAGGGAAAAGATTCCAAGACTCCATAACATAACATTCTTCAAAACATCTTATTTTGAGTTCAACAGAAGAAATAAAAACTCAAATGTGTTTGAAACGAGTGAAGAATGAGTGAATAATAAAAGACTGGTCATTTCTGATGAACTAACCCGTATTTACGCAAATGTTTGAATGATTGTATGTTGTTAAATAAAAACTACAAAACAGGTTTGTTCTCCATTAATTTGAATAAATAAACAAATTGCTGTTTTTAATTAACCAAAACGGGCAAATCAATATGTGAAACTATTATCAAAGTACTAATATATCAGCATATATTTAAGGTTGACTATAAATTATTTACATCAACAGTGAACGGTCTGATTAGGTCAGTAGTTACTTAAGCTGCTTTTTGTTTTTGTTTGTTGTATTTGTGAATATGATGTGAATGTCTCAGTTGCAAGATTGTGTTACTTGATTGTTAAATGTTCAGCATGTAAATAAAAATAGCAACAATTAATGATAAAAAATAATTAATATTTCTAGCTTTACGGTCTAAGATTTCTAGCGTAATGTTAAGCAGGTGTTATAGAGTGGATGGTTTTCTGTACCTTGTCCGCCAGGGGGACAGCGAGCGATGTTTGAGATCATCGGAGGCAGTGCGGACAAAATCCTCGCAGGATCCCGCCGGGTGATGGACGGGCTGGACGGGCGGGTGTCTGGGTGAAATCAAAGAGCGCAGCAACTTCTGGTGCGCCTTACTGAACCCATGGTCACAATCTTTGAAACAGAGATGTTTTCCTTCCACTTTGCTCTCCGACAACCAGAAGAATAATAATCCAAAAAACAGCGGGGACTGCAATAAATTCAATACACAAATTAAATTAAACATTGTGATAAAATCTGTTTTTTAAATATAGATGAAATTAATAATTTCACAGATTAACGATTTAACTTTTATTTCTGTAAAATAATCACTGCTGTAAAGTTTCTTTTGCTACTTACCCACATAGTTTAATATCAAAAGTGACTCGGAGTGATTGTTAAATACAGCTCAGGCGGTGTCGGGCCTCAGCTCAGGACTGTTATACTTTTCTGCACTGCTATGAGGCATTTTTATAGGCAACTTACCTGTATCCATCACTGGGGAAATCCGAGTCCTATGAGGAAATAGTAATAAATATTTACTTCCTTGCTTCCTCTTTCAAATGAAGTGATGTATACGCAAGCGTATTAGCCTCTATCTGTAAAAAATAAAGTCCTCTAGTTTTTTTGTATCTAACGTTAAAAGGATTTAATTTCAATTGAACACTTCGCTGTTTGTATGTTTAATTGATAAGTTAGACTTGCTTTGCTCTCGTCAGCCGCTAATCCCCCTTTTCCTCATCTGAACTAACGTTAGCAGTAAATGATTTCATTCATTAAACGCGGTCCTTCATTCATTAAAACATGCTTATTCTGTCTGCTTTGACAAGAAAGGAAACGTTCAACTAAAGAGAAATACTGCAGGACAATTTATACATTCGCCTCATCATCAACCAGCATCTGGCATTTTACTAAAACTAACCGGTAACAAAGGTTTCATTCGCTAGCTAACGTTAATTTGAACCAACAATGAAAACAACTCTACAATCAATAAAAGACATCGCTCATCTTAGAATATTACTGAAACCATTGTGTTTACAGTTAATATACTATAGTAACACATATTTGAAATAACTAACATTATTAAAGGTTTATAAATGTCTTAAATAGGTTGTCCATTGATAATGCATTAACAAGTGAAACCTTATTCTAACATCTTTATTTAATACGCAGAAGATTCACACAGTTGAAATGAAAAAAAATCCCCCTTTTTCTGAGCATTATGTGACCTTTTTAAATCCTTGGAAGAGTGAATGTGGAGATAAACTGTGGGGGCCCCCTGGATGTTTTGGAGATGACAAATAAGCCCTCAATAACAGGACATTCATTAACTAAAACAAGGTTAATGGCAGTTCTGTCTCTTTATGGGGTTGCCATCACGGGACGAGACCAAGTGAATTTCCCAGCATCATCCAGATTAGCCACATCTCCCCAGGAGTCCCCTAAACTTCATTGTCTATACGTTCTGCCGAGAATGTGAAACTGAAGATTTAAGCCATTAATCAATCACTCTGACAATAAACATGCCAGAATCAAAAGCTTGTTTGATTTCCTTTAATTAATTAGTTAAAGGAAATCAAACAAACGTAAGTCAAGTTTGAATGACAAAACTAGTTTCATCATTTTGATATGCACTGATAAAAAAACAGTGACATCATGGCCTAATTATTAAAAACAACTTAAGTAATGTGGGTGTATCATAGTGAAGCGTTTAGAATTATTGTGACGTTGAAGTGTACAAACAAAAGGAAGATGTATTACGTTCCAACCCGGTCAATGAATGATCTCACTCAATTGCTGAAGGTGTCGATCGGAAGCTGAGACAGCAGAATAGTGGAACAACAAACAGGGACAATAAACGAATAAAAGCAGAGGAACCCATGATGGAGGAGTGCACACACTGATAAAACACCCCACAGTTCTTTGCATCGGAGAGAAATAGTTCCAACAGATTATTCTCTTTATCAAAATAGTTTATTTAGAAGCTTTTTTGTCACAAAAAGCAAGACTGAATTATTCCTCATCTCCAGGCGTCCCCATTGCAGCCTCTCACACTTTCAACTAAAAATGAGGGACAAATAAAATGCAGGTTTTCACTTGGAAAGCTAGTGGGAAGGGAAGGGGAGGAAAAAAAACAAAGCAGAATCTTTAAAAGAAAAAAGAAGCAACATTTCACATCACTGTCATTGGTTCTCTGCAATCATAGTTTAAGCAACGGGAATTCTGTCGTCTGGCTGTGTAGATGAACATGGTGAAAACGGTAAACGCTAAACACATGAATGTGGAGGATAGACAAGTTCACTGGACTCTTTGAAAAGGCAGTTTCAGATTTGTTTCGTTTTTTTTAGTAGGACAGATGTCAAACGCGTAGATCTGACACATTAAACAAGTCTGTCCTCTGTAACTCCTCAGAAAATGACAGGAGAAAAGCAAGCAGAATATGGCAGGATGAAGAGCAAATATGTGCAGTGGATGTACAGTTTATCTTTGAGACGCACTACAGTAAAGACTCCATCGTTCTGCAAAAACAAACAAAGTGACCGGCGCCACTTCTCAACTTTATCACATCAATATAAAACCTAGACAACCTCTCTCTGAGGGCAAAATGAGCAGAAATGAAACGACGGCCTCTTTTCCCCCACCGTTAAGACATTTACGGGATGCCTTCGGAGTTCAGAATCATGACCATTTCCTTTATTTCTGCCAAACACTGGGCATTGAGCACAACATGGATGTCCCAGATGATGTTAGATTAATTATTTCCCAGGGATTTTGGCCCGTTTGCGGGCTATGGCGTCCTCCACAGCCTTTAACTGTTTTAGGAGCTCCTCGCGGCGTGAAAGGGTGCTGCTTGGTTTGCCCGGAGCAGAACCAGAAGCAGAGCCGGATCCAGCGCCAGGTGCAGGAGGTTTAGCTGCAGATGCAGCAGCAGGACCTTTCCCAGAAGACTTGGCTGGAGGAGATAAAGGACGCTTCCTGGTGGGGAGAAAATAAAGAGGTTGGACGATGAAGTACAAATGGGATATTTTTAAATCTTCAGTCTCAGTCATATGATGATAAAGCTGGTTATAAAACACCTTCAAGCACATAAAAGGAGAACTAAAGGTGAACAAACATGGGGATTTTCACTGATTTATACCAGCTAGACTAACAATAAATCTGCTCAACATAAAGAGTAAACTAAATGTGTATGTTTGTACTTCTACAAAGATACTAATATCTCTCCTGCAAACAAATTTGAATAAGTGCATTCTTATTTTCTCCCTACATGTTATCAGTCGACTAATGGAAATCACCAGACATCTGAAGGGATATTCAGAAGAGTGCGACTGAATTGAAGTCAGACAGATCATATCAGATTAGAATTCACTTACTATTTTTTGATTGATTATCTTTTTGTGCTATTAGTTTGCTTTCTTATTCATATTTACAAAGCATTTATTAAAGTTTATTCATTCATATTTTGTCATTTAATTTGATTTTTATTCCTGTTTATTAACATTTAACAAAAGTTTAAGTTAAAATTTTAGAATGAGATTGTGCATTTCTATTTTAAAAAAATAAAGGTCCCACTTTATATTTAGTTACTTTAACTAATATGTACTTACACGGGAATGAATCATTTGTTTCGATGTACTTGGTGTGTAAATGAATGTTTTTACATTGTACTGGAGCTTGATTAAATACTTGAGTGCATTATGCTTTAGTTATCTTTGTAATCGCATTTATAATTACACTGTTGACTATCCCTTGCATCTTATCCCACCCTTAAACCTATGCATACCACCAAACCGGACCCTATAATGACCCTTATCCCACCTCAAGAGCACCAGAAGTGTTCTGCAATACATTATGAACACATGAAGTACATTGTATTTATATTCGGATTTAGATGCATAGTAGTGTAAATTAATATGAAGAGGGACCAAAATATACAAGTATATTAAAATTATATGATAATATATCATTATAGACTACATAAATATTAGAATATTATAATTGTAAATGAAGTTATCAATTAACTAATGGAAATCACCACATATCTGAAGGGATATTCAGATGAGTGTGACTGAATTTCAGGCCACAGATAAGACTCTATAAAATCACATTGTTCTTTTGGTCAGAAAACAACTGTCCTCTGACTGAGCTCGGTTTCTCCAAAGGATTTTTTTCTCATGATTTTTTTGTTTTTGTTTGAAGGAGTTTGTATCACCTTTGGCTTGTTTTATCCGTTTCGCTCCACTGACATTGAATGCGACTGAAACCTACTGAATCACTGCTGCTGACTCATTGAAACAGCACTTTACATAGTCTTCAGTACAGTAGTTTATAGCAGAATAAGATTGGTTTCATAACTAAGAATTGTATTCAATTCAATAGATTCAATTCAATCAATCATGACAAAAAGAAGGCAAAAAGAAGTTGAATAAAATGCTGCTTTTATAATAGTAAAAGATTGTTTAGAATCCTTTAAAAATTAGCATGATGTGACCTGACTGAGAATTTATTTGGAGTCTTGGATACATTCTCACGGCTGTCATATATATTTTGAGAGACAAGAGTGCGGAAGATCTTCAGCTATTCATCAAAACACCACTCTCAGCTGCCTGGGTGCCACTGGGATGTTTGCTAATAGTACAGTGTAAAAACATCCTAATTAACAGTTTCCTGTATTTTGTAATTCATGGGTGTTTTCCAATTGTTAACACTTTTAAATTTCATTATGGGACCTTGATCTCTGCATATACTGTTTTTGATATTCAAGTTTAACAAAATGTCTGAGTTGGTCATGTAAATTAATTGGTCACATGAAAATGGTTAAAACAAAAACAATGAATTTTTGGCCTGTTTTTTGTGTTTTTGTTGTGATACACACACAAACACACACAGCTGAGGCCAAAATAATTAGCCCTCCTGTGAATTTTTTTTCTTTTTCAAATATTTCCCAAATGATGTTTAACAGAGCAAGAAAATTTTTACAGTATTCCCTATAATATTGTTTCTTCTGGTGAAAGTCTTATTTGTTGGATTTCTGCTAGGATAGCAGTTTCTAACTTTTAAAAAAAATGTAAAGGTCAATATTAAGTATTTTGTTTTGCTAACAGGACAAACCATCGTTACACAATGGCTTGCCTAATTACTCTAACCTATCTAGTTAACCGAATTAACCTAGTTAAACCTTTAAATGTCACTTAAAGCTGTATAGAAGTG